AAGCTTGAAGACCTGAATGGTTGTCTACTTCTACTTTCTATGTTTCTAAAGAATCCAAATAAATTGGTTAAAAACAACTTCCCTTTCAAAACAAAACCATGCTGACTGATCCCAGTTACTGTTTTTCCAAGTGCCCAGTTATATCCTCCTCAAGAATGTCCCTAACTCCTTCCCCAAAACAGATGTCAAGCTAACTACCTATACAGGCAGTTTCCAGGTTGCAAATGGGTTCTGTCTTGAGTCCGTTCACAAGTCGGAACACAATGCGGAATAATGTAAAATAAGAAGTTAGAAAGAGGAAATGTTTATATGTTGGAACTTTAACCCCTGTATGGGATAGCATTTGTAAATATGAGTGTTCGTAAGTCAGATATTTGTAAATTGTGGACTCTCTTTGCGTTCCTGTTTTCTGCCTTCCTTGAATAGAGGGGGTTATGTTTGCTAGTTTCCCATCTAATAGAAACTTGGCTAAACCTAACAAGTTTTGGAAAATTAACACCGGCGCAGCTATTACTTTGCTAGCCTCCTCTTTTAACAGCCTAGGATAAAGCTCATAAGGACCAAGAGACTCATTAACCCGCAGTTCCATTAGCTTGCTGAGTACCACTTTCTTGTGATTATAATTTCATCAAGTTCCTCTCTTCCTTTATCCTCATGATTTGCAAGTATTACTGGGTGTTTTTATATCCTTTGCAGTGAAAATAGAAGCAGAATGTTTACTCATTATATCTGCCATTTCTTTGGAATACAGTGCATAAGCGTGTGGTTGAGGCAAATTCAATTGAAGCTTTGAAAAAAGAATTGGAGCTTTGTTTGAAGAGGGAAAAGGAATTCAGTGCAATAGGGAAAGGGCAGGGGCATTGCACTTCATGAATTGCTCCTTCAGAGATCCAGCACAGACATTGAGCGGGGCTCAATGGCCTCATTCTGTGCTGTGTAATCTGACGACAATACAGTGAAAAAGTCTGTTTTTAATAAGAAACTATAATCATACAGAATTTACTTCACTGACTAACACCCCAAACAAATTCTCATTGGCAGAAATTTGAGTATATAGGTTTATTCTCTGAGGTCCCATAATTATTATGAGCAACAGGCTGATGCTTGCGACATGTCCTGTATTGAAAATCGCTCAGACCCACCTGCTGTTGTCTCTCTGAATTCGATATTTCCTACAACTCTCCTATCTGATGGCAAGGACAGTCACATCTATTGAAATCCCATCTAAAGGTCTGCCTCGTGAATGACGAGAGAGGTACATGTTGGCATTGTTTCTTGTTTCATTGAGATAGTGATTGTTCATTTTTTTGGGGCAATTTTATTTCTGTAACCATAATATTTTTACAGTTTTCTTGTAAAGGTGAACTGTGAAGGCTTCTTGATTGCATGATTCAAAAGAAAATCACTTTTAGAAATTTGAGGGAAATCCTATTGTTATTTGCATGTGGTTTGACTAAGTGGACTTGAATTTTAAGAGTGTTAATGTATGTTTGGAAAGATCTCCCAGGTGAATGAATAGTGACTACATTGGTAAAATTTCACCTCAGAAATGTGATTAACCATAATTTAAGTGAAAATGTGTGAATAAATTCAAAAGGCCAGTAGTAATGAAGTGAAAGTAGTTTTATACAGTAAGATTTGGTTGAATTCATTTATATACATTGCCTGAATAAAGGTAATTGCAACCAAAATTTCATGAGTAGAATGTCATAATGGCTTTACCTAATTGACTTAAGAAGGATGTGTTTCTACATTTCATGGAACTGCAACATCTGGCATCATTATGGTAAACTTTTTATCAGAACATATACTAAAGTGAAAATCAATTTGTGCATCAGCATGCTACAGTCCTCTGACTCTACCTCACCAAATCACAGCAAATGGTTTAAAAAAATGAGCTACAAAGACTGCTGAGATGATTTAGCTTATCAAAAAATGTTTAGTCGTGGTAAGCTCTCCTTTTTCTTGTGTGCCTCCAACCTCATGCTGAACCCTGTGCTCTTACAGTGGAAATTTGTTAGCTTTGTTAGATTGGATTTTTAGCAGCAACAGGGGTTGCAAGCTGTGACAGAGCTGTGCTATTGGATTTGTACAATTCATTTGGCTCCACGAACTGTAATTGCACTTATGTCTTACAAGGCTGTTTTAGCCTGAGGCAGGACTGGAGCAGGAAAACAAATTGGCAGGGTTACAGTAAGAGTGGAGCTGAATGAAAGGCACACATTATCAGTCTACAGGCAGTGCTATTCTTCCAGGAAGTTTCTTAGTTAATTTACAAATAAAACTCAGTTTTTGAGTAAGAGCATACTGTCACACAAACAAAGGGGGTGATCAAGTTTCAGAGTCTGTGAGTAAAAGGGCCACCATGCCGACTTGACAGCAGGAATTTTTCAATCAAATTGACGAATCCATTCTTGAGCCAGCTGGCTCTATAATGCAATTAACATGAGGGAGGTCAGGCTGTTGGGCGCAGTGCCTTGACCAGTGTCATCAGTGGTGTGCTAGCCACCTAACTTACAGCCTGCTAAACAACTGAAGCTACAATTCAGATGAGTAAGTGGGTTGTGTGGCACACATCTAATTAAACAAGGACTTGATTTTTTTCTTAGGACAACAGGATCAAGTGTTTCTTGGTCTTAGCTGTTAGTATCATACATTATTATTCACAAAGGAAAATCAGGATTTGTTTTGCATCAGGTCAGCACAAGGTAAGTGAATGATGAGATTAAAAGGTAATTGAAGCCCTACGTCTATTTCCTGTATTAAGAGGAAGAAATTGAGTGACTGAATAGCTGATGACAGTGAAGCAGCAGTTCAGATGCTGCATTTGTTTAAAATCCATAGATGTATAAAGATCCATAAATTCCATGTATTGTGAAAAGCCACTAGATACTCGGAATCTGCTTCTTGTGGATTTATACCCCAGTATGTATCACCTTAATCAGTAATAGAACAATTAAATAATGGAAGAGAAAGAAACAAAATGGTTGAATGATACATTGAATATCGTGATTAAATCAACATTGATATTTTGATTCAGTGCTGTATAACTCTACTTCTCTGATCTCTTGTTCATGCTGACCAGATATCCTAAACTGATCTAATTGGCCAGCATATGGCTGATATCCCTCTAAACACTTGCTCTTTATGTACCCATCCAGATGCGTTTTAAATGCTGAAATTGTACCACCATTTCGTTTGGCAGCTCATTCCATACACGCACCACCCTTTTTGTGTGAAAAAGTTGCCCCTCGGGTCCCATTTAAATCTTTCCCCCCTCACCTTAAGCCTATGCCCTCTAGTTTTGGACTCCCCTACCACAGGAACAAGACTTTAGCTATTACCCTGTTCATGCCCCTCATGATTCTATAAATCTCTAAGTTCACCCCTCAACCTCCAAGCCCCATCCTATTTATCTTCTTGCAATAGCTCAATCCCTCCAATCCTAGAAACATCCTTGTAAATTTTTCTGAATCCCTTCTGAACTTGTGCAATATCGTTATTTTGTTGCTGTTGCTCCTGGAAATAAGCTTACTGCCAATGCCAGAATTTGCATGTTTACGCAAAAGGTCAACACAGGCTTTTTTGAGGGTTTGCATAATAAAATGTTCATGTCAGTCAAAAACAGAATCCAGACATCACTGAATTGCTATGTTAAATTGCTAATTGGGTACAATCCAAATATTTTTGACCTTATGCAGAAAGTAATTTGGGATCATGGACCACATTGTTACCTTTATTCTAATTTTCTCCAACTGATAGCCATATAACACTTTCAGGCTGCAGTCACGAATAGGGTTTATTCAGAAATTAACCTATCAACAGCAAAATGCAAATAAAAGCACATGAATAAATCTTATTGTTATGCATGTAACTTACAGAATCTGTTATAGAGCAGTAAACAGAATTAAATTCTGTCACAGGACCCCGTTATGCTTTTGCTCAGGACTGGTGTGTGATACAAATTTTCTTCATCAGGCTAAATTGAGCTTTCCAACAATCTCCACCCTTGTAGCAAGACTAATAACCGTTGAACTGGGAACAGGCTCCAGTCAATCATTTCTTTTATCAGGTGAGCTTTGAGCACTGAGCACTCACTCAATACCAGCATCAGATACCTCCTCTGAAATTACTGTTGCCACCTTGTAGTTTCAGCAGTCCAAGCCAATTTGCTCTTTCTCCTCAAAGTCCAGTAATCAAGTTAACAAATTAATTCATTTCTCTGAACAGAAATGTCTGTAGCTTACCTGCTCATCTACTAGCTTTAAACTAAATAATAGTCAGATGAAACAGCTTGGTTTCTTTGCGAACCATTTGTTGGTGCATTTTCTTTTGTAAGGAATAAAGCATGAGAGCTTGCATTTTCAGTAGCTTATCTATAAGCATGCATATTATTCCCATATAGTAAGGCTTCAGTGAAGAATAGTAATTCAAACTTGTGATCTATTTTGAACCACAGACCCAATCCAGATAATATGCAGATTCCATCTTTTCTGGGTGCTCATAGCCATAGTGTAACCAAATTAAAGCCATTACAATTGACATCAAACACACTGTTAAAGGGGGATATTAAAAACATGTTTTTTATTTTCATTGGAATTAATTTATAAATAGTTATTATGAAATAGTGTATTTAAGCTGAATTTAACTTTTGTCAGTTCTAATTGATATTTGTTCCAATATTTAACGCATCATCTAGCCTGAATATTATCAAAATACTATTTGATCCATTGTATACTCTGAATTTAACCATTCCCAAGTTATATTAGGTAATTAAAGAATAAATATTCATGTGCAGAAGCATTCTTATAAATATTGTAGAATTTGTCATTATTTATAAATGTATCAAACTACATGTTTGAGGCAAACTAATTGGAAAAGATTTTCACTGTGAAAATTATGACCATTGAGGCAAATTAATTAAATTTGTGGACGTTGACCTCATAATGAAGTCCTGATAATTACACCACAATTAATCAAGAACCAATTTATCATTTCAGCTCCGTCATCTGGGAAATGACGAAGTTCACATCATCTGGTCTGAGCACACAAGGGACTACCGCAGGGGCATCATTCCTACAGATTTCGGTGATGTCTTGATCATCATTTATCCAATGAAAAACTGCATGTTCTACATTCAGATTTTAAAAAAGCCAGAAGTAAGTATAAGTTCACTGTGATTTATTGAAGGTTGGCGTATATTGTGCAATATGGTTCTTTTAGCTCCCATTAAATGATCAGACAGTCCTGGCAGGAAGTTTTCTGATTAATTTAAAAGAAAAGTTTGGTAGTGCATTGCAGCCCAAAACAAGGGTTGGCACAGAATCAATAGCCGTTGTCCTTGAAAGATGATAATATTTCATGTGGAAAGAAACCATTCAGCCCACTGCACCTGTACCAGCTCTGACAGCTATTCACTGAGTCCCTTTTCTCTTTTTTTTGGTCCTGTACCATATTACGTTCTTCTTGTTCAAGTGTCTGATTGCTTAGGTTTCAGAACTGTAAAGAATGCTGCGTCCACCATTTCACAGAAGCTACGTCCCAGTAGCCCTGAAATTTAAAAAAAAAAATTCCCAGCACATCCCTTTGTTCTTCTGGCAGTGAACACAAATTTATGCCTTCTGTTTACTGACACACTATCCAATGAAAAAACTTTGTCAAAGTGATTCAAAGCTGGTCAGATCTACTCTTAATTATTGTTCCAATTAAAGTACTTTTGTTTCCCAACTGCGTATGTAACTAAAACTGTCTTAGCTCTCCATTCAGGAGAGAGCCACTACCATAATGATTGAATGTCATTTCAGAAATGTGGTGTATTAATTTATCTTTCAAAAAATTCATTTCCCAGGAGTGTACTTTATGATTTGGGAGCTGCAACTGTTAATCTGCCTGTTAAAACTGCGTGTGGACAAGGATCTAGAGTAGGCCACGCTGCCTTTTGAGCCTGTTCAGCCATTCAATAAGATCATAACTGATCTGATTTTAATCTCAAATTCACATTCCTGTGTATTCCAGATTATCTTTTTCCATCTTGATGATAAAGAATCTATTTACCTCTGTCTTAAAAATGTTTAAAGGTTCTGTATCCACTTTCTTTTAAGGAACAGAATTCCAAACACACTCAACCCTCAGAAAAAACAATCCTCATCTTGACCTTAAATGGACCTTATTTTTAAACTATGACCCTAGTTCTCGTTTCGCCCACAAGAGGAAGCATCCTTTCCACATCCACCCCTTAGGATACTCTTTCAATTAAGTTGCTTCTTGAGTCTTCTATACTCCAGAGGATACAGGCCTAGCCTGTTTCGTCTTTCCTTCTAAGACAATCTGCTCATTCCAGATGTTAGTGTAGTAAACCTTCTCTGAACTGCTTCTAATGCATTAACATGCTTCCATAAGAACAGTGTCCAGTACTGCACAGAGTACTCCGAGATGCGGTCTCACCAATGCCTTGTATGACTGAAGCAGAAACTCCCTACCCTTGCATTCAATTACCCTCTCAATAAAACATAACATTCCCCCTCACCTGCATCAAGGCACCAAACAAACCTTTCACATCAGAGAGAGGTTCATTTGCACATCCGTCAATGTGGTCTATTGCATCAGCTGCTCCCGATGTGGCCTCCTCTGCGTCGGTGAGACCAAGGGAAGGCTCGGAGACCGCTTTGTAGAGCACCTGCACTCTGTTCGCAATAAACAATAACCCCTCCCATTCCCTGGGTGACATGTCCATCCTGGGCCTGCTCCAGTGTCACAATGATGCCACCTGGAAACTGGAGGAGCAGCTCCTCATATTCCACCTTGGGAGCCTACAGCCCAATGGCCTAAATGTGGACTTTACCAGTTTCAAAATCTCCCTATCCCCGGCCTCATCCTATGACCAACCCTCCCTCTCATCCCCATCTCCTTGACCTGACACAGCCTGTCTATTTTCTCTCCCAGCTATCCACTCCTCCCACCTTACTGACCAATCCCCACCACTGCCTACCTGCATTCCCCTATCACCATCCCACCTAACTTCCCCAGCCCCAGCCCTCCTCTCTCCCTTTATTTCTGAGCTCCTTTCCCCCTCTCTCATTTCTTAAGCAGGGTCCCTACCTGAAACGTCAACATTCCTGCTCCTCTGATACTGCCTGGCCCACTGTGTTGAGATTTGGGTGTGCCAGTGCATTAATTGCAAAAGATTAGTACTAGGTGCAGTAAGTAATTAGGAAAGCTGATAGAATGTTATAGTAAGAACTGCTGATGCTGGAGTCAGAGATAACAGTGTGGAGCTGGAGGAACACAGCAGACCAGGAGCAGGAAAGTTGACTTTTGGGGTCGGGACCCTTCTTCAGAAATGGGGCGGGGGAAGGGAACTCAAATAAGGAGAGAGGGGAGAGGTGGCGCCGGGGAAGGTAGGTGGGATGGTGATAGGTGAGTGCATGTAGACAGTGGTGGGGATTGATCAGTGAGTTGAGAGGAGATGATAGGCGGGAAAGAAGATGGACAGGTTGTGTCAGGTCAAGGAGGCAGGGATGAGAGGGAGGTTGGTCATGGGATGAGGCCGGGGGTGGGGAGATTTTGAAACTAGTAAAGTCCACATTGAGACCATTGGGTTATGGACTCCCAAGGCGGAATATGAGGTGCTGCTCCTCCAGTTTCCAGGTGGCATCATTGTGTCACTGGAGGAGGCCCAGGATGGACATGTCACTCAGGGAGTGGGAGGGGGAGTTGAAGTAGTTTGCGTCTGGAAGGTGTTGTCATTTGTCACGAACAGAGCACAAGCACTCTACAAAGCGGTCTCCAAGCCTCCGTTTGGTCTAACCAAGGAAGAGGAGGCCACATCGGGAGCAGCAGATGTGCAGGTGAACCTCTGTCTGATGTGGGAAGTTTATTTGGTTCCTTGGATGGAGGTGAGGGGGAGGTCGAGGGGCAGGTGTAGCACTTCCTGCGGTTGCAGGGAAAGGTGCCAGGGCTAGTGGGGAGTGTGGAGCAGATAAGGGAGTTGCGGAGAGCACAGTCCCTATGGAAGGCAGACAGGAGTGGGGAGGGAAATGTATCCTTGGTTGCGGGGTCAGATTGCAGGTGGCGGAAGTGGTAGAGAATGATACGTTAATCCGGAGGTTAGTGGGGTGATACGTGAGGACAAGGGGGGATTCTGTCTTTGTTTTTGTTGCGGGGAGGGGATTTGAGGGCAGAGGTGCGGGAAACGCAAGAGATGCGGTCGAGAGCGTTTTCAACCACTGAAGGAGGGAAGTTGCTGTCCTTGAAATAAGAGGACATCTGGGATGTTCGGGAGTGGAACGCCCCATCTTGGGAGCGGAGGCGATGGAATTGGGAGGAGGGGATTGCATTCTTGCAGGAAGGTGGGTGAGAGGAGGTGTATTCTAGGTAGCTGTGGGAGTCTGTGGGCCTGAAATAGATATCGGTTTTGAGGCGGTCACCAGAAATGGAGACAGAGAGGTATCAGAGATAGCCCAGGTGAACTTGAGGTTGGGTTGAAAGGTGTTAGTAAAGTTGATGAACTGTTCAACCTCCTTGTGGGAGCATGAGGCAGCGCCGATACAGTCATCGATGTAGCAGAGGAAGAGATGGGGGGTGGTCTTATAAAATAGTAATTACTACTCCAAGAATTTAAGGAAGTCAGCTCCAATACTGAAAAACCTCAAAAAATGACCAGCTTTTGCAGCCACAGTATTTTCCGATCCTCGATCCTGAATCCAATGAGCTTTGGAAAATTAAAACTAACGCATCAACTACGTTACTAGTTTCTTCATCGAGAATGACCATCAGGACCTGGGGACTTGTCAACTGTCAGTTCTAACAATTTATTCAGCACTATCTCCCTGGTAATTGTAATTTTCTTGAGTTTATCCCTTTCCACTCCTGATTTACAACTATTTCTTGCATGTTACCAATGTCACTCTCCAGTGACCATCTCTTTATCCTCCATTATTAATTCCTCAGACTCATTTTCTATAGGGCCAATACTTGTTACTTTCTTCTTATTTAAATATCTGAAGAAACTTTTCCTATCTGTTTTTGTTTTGACTAGATTTCTCACACTTGAATGTTTTCCTCCTTATTAATCTTACGGTAATTCCTTGCTTATTTTATTTTCTGTCCAACCTTCTGAGCTGACACTTATCTTTACACAACAATATGTCTATTCTTTGACTTCGATACTAAATTTGAGTTAAGCCTGAATGGCAAGTCCGCCCCTGAGGATTTTTCTTATTTGTTAGAATGTATGTATTCTGCACTTTCTGAAATATCCTCATGCATCCAAAGCATCAAACTCATCTAATCTTCAGTGATCTAAACTACAGGTAAATGTAAGTTGGTGTTACATTTACCCTGGACCAGAAGACCAAAATTATATTCGAACAATTTAATATTTTATGTTCTTTTAGAAATTAAATAGAAATAGCTATACAGAACAATGTTAGAGTGTACAAATATAAAACACAAACCCTCTCAGGGGCTAGTATCTCATCTGTATTCAGCAGTGCCACCGGGGAGGCTGTGGCTGCTGGGCTGCTGTTGGTCCTACATCTACCTAAGACCTGAGATTGAAGAGAAACCCAGATACAGATAAGTGAAAGCAGATTTGGGATGAGGGGAGTATCAGGCCAGCGTTCAGTGAGCACCATCCCCCACGCCGAATATAGGCAGCCTTTGATCAGGCACCACCTGTCTTCGAACAAGGAACCTCACCTGAGAGTACACGTGTATTTGCTGTAGTGCAACCCATGTGGCAAACCACACAACTGGGTTAATACTCTTGAGTAGACATTAATTTGCCAATGGTAAGCCTTTCCACATGGACTTAACTGGAGTAGTCTCCACCTGCCGCCCAAGCACCCAATTAAATGCTCCTCTTTAACCAAACGTGCCACAGGAGGGCACGAGATTTTGCCCCAAGTATTTAACTATGTTGAATGGGAGCAAAAGTTCTGAATTTTCAAGTACTTTGCATCATACTGGATGTGTTCCATTTCTTATTGCTGAAAGTTCTGCCAATCTGAAAGCAAGGATTAAAAATGACAGACAAAAGAACTTGAGACAATACGAGGAAAAACATCATTTTGTGACATGGTTAGGATTTGCGATGTACTGTCTGATTAGGTTATGAATGCAGATTCAATAACAGACTTCAACACAAAATTAGTTAAGA